CAGCACGTTTGGCTACGTACGGTGCAAAAGAAGTTCAACATACATTCCAGTACTAGGACAGCGTCGTTCAATCATCATCTGCAGCAGGACCAAACGCCACAACCATCCACATCAGCGCCAGCATCACTCCGTGGCATGATGATCATCAGCACCACCACCAGCCGATGGTATCGTCATCAACATCAGCAGCACCAGCATCATCACCATATGGCATCACCGCCATCACTAGCAGCAGCACCAACAGCAGTAGAACCCCATTGCCATCGACGTAATCAACTGCGACACCACCACCAATATCAGCAACATCATCATCATTACCAGCAGCAGCACCAACATCATAACCATAGCCATCATATGCAGCAACAGCAACACCACTCGTCATCACCAGCATCAACAGTCATCATCATAACCTTCACCATCACCCCCTACACCACCATCAGCACCCATCGTCAATAGCAGAACCCCAATCCATCGTTTGGATTATACATAGCAATCATCACTCCTCGCCTGAACAAAAAAACATTGCAGGACCCTCGTGATATTGAGTCATTAGACTCAGCGAGGCTTTCCTGGGCAACCATACATGAGGCAGGCGGCGGGGAGTGAAATCCATCTTGGCCTCTCTGCCTTTTTTCGCTCAGCGGAGTGTCTGGCCAAATTGTCACGCACATGCTGTGTCATTTTCCAGATGTTACAGGACATCAAGGCCTGGGTCGGAGGCTTGAGAATGTGCGGAATGTAAACCGTCGTGAGCGGCCTTATCTCCTCGACCTCTTCGCGATCATCGTCGTCATCATTGTCAGACGTAGTCACTCTACTGCTGGACGGAGGCCTTCCCGAAGCCTCTTCGACGTAGGCAAGGCAGCTCGCCGCTGGAGGAGTGCCCTCTTATGTTCTGCAGATTTTACTTTTATTTTTGCTCGTCTTCGTTTTTCGATTGTTGCTGGAATATAATGAGCGTGGATCCACCAACAGCAAGTGGCAACAAAGGAATGGACCCGAGAGCACATCCAAAGTGGAGATGGAGCGGTGAAATCGGTTGCCTGTGCAGGCGCGAGCTGGATCGTTACGTCACAGGATCGAGAGAGGTGGTAGCGGCACGGCTTGGGGGGGGGGGCAACATCCAGCAGTAGATGGATCACGGCTGAGGATGGCGAATGCAAGATCTCTGCGTTGTCGAAGAGGAGAGAGAGAGAGAGAGTTCGTGTCTGTTGGGGTGCAGGGACAAAATTTGGCCACATGGCCCCACGTGGAGTCGGAGGATTTAATTTAAATCCCAGGGCTTTGCTGAGAGCTTCTGTGTGAGCACACAGAAAACAGACAAAGGCACACACCTACACATACCTATGCACAGTGGTACATACAAAGACACGTACACCCCTACACACAGATCTACTCGTATACACATATTTAGACATGTAACTACATACGTACGTACAAATATACACACACCCACATAGACAATGACAAGATCTCCTATATAGCATTGAACAGACTGTTGGGGCAAGTGTTGTTAACAAGAACCTCACAAGGCTGGCACAGAACACGACGAGTAAGTGGGTAAGCAGCACCACGCCTGGCCACCTTCATCTCCCCAATACTGAAATATACACATTGCACCAGGTACTTATTTAAGGTGCAGTCGACCTAGGGGTGGACCGGTGCAGCTATGTGTCACCGACCACTGCGCCACCTACGAAGACAAAGATCCCCCTTATAGCCTGAACAGACTTTTAGGACAAGTGTTGTTAGCGAGCACCTATGAAGGCCGGTACGGCACACGAGGGGGTAGGTGGCCAGCATCACGCCCGGCCGCCTTTGTCTCCCGAGTGGTGATGCTAACACATCGCACCAGGTACTAATTTAAGGCTGAGTCAACCTAGGCGAGGCCCAGGACCGGTGTCGGCTGTGAGCGTACAAACACATTCTCGAGATAATACTGGTAGGAACCTCCTGGTTACACCAGCCCACAGGGGATTATTGTGTCCGTCCGTCGTGCAGGGAGGTTCTGGGTGGGGAGGGTGGGGCTGGGTGGGGAGGGTGGGGAGGGGCTGGGTGGGGAGGGTGGGGCTGGGTGGGGGGTGGGTGGGGCTGGGTGGGGGGTGGGAGGGGTGGGGCTGGTCACCCCGTGGTGCCCTTATAAAAACTCAACGTTTAACCTACTCACGCCGGCTTGTGCCCACCCTCACAGTCAGCCATATTTGCGGGATACACCACGCCGCCGTTGACCCTGGCCATTGACCGAGCAACCCAACGTTCCTACCAGCTCCCTCCGCAGGAATGTGTTATGTTCCCCTTCCACTCAGAAGCAAACGTCAGCCAATTTACAATTGGCACACGCGTATCGCCGCCGCCACCTCTGCTCTGCCATGAACGTGAACCGTAAATGCCCGCCCAATCAACGTTATCATCACGGTACACCTGTGTGCCAGCCAGGTAGCGGGTGCATTACGCATGACGCATTTTTAATTAGTGCAGGTGACTTTATTTGAGCAGGTGAGGGGCCAATTGAGGCTCATTATGTCTTTCGTCAGAGGGATCCGGATTTTTGCAACGAAAAAAAACCGTAGCCGTCACTGCTCTTGCTCGTCAGTGGTAGAGTCATCATCAGCGTCGTCGTCATCAGCCATGTTCAATCCACTGCTGGATGTAGCCGTCACTGCTCTTGTGGTCAGCGTAGAGTCATCATCAGCGTCGTCGTCATCAGCCATGTTCAATCCACTGCTGGATGTAGCCGTCACTGCTCTTGTGGTCAGCGTAGAGTCATCATCAGCGTCGTCGTCATCAGCCCTGTTCAATCCACTGCTGGATGAAGGCCTCCACAAGCCGCCGCCGCCACCTCTCGCGACACTGCGAAGTATTAGCACCGATTGGCCCTCTATGCAAACGAAATAAGACGCCCACTCGTAAGACATGCTACCAACAGGTCAATGCTACATTCCACATGTTGTCAGCTGCGCGATGATAATGCTCCACAGCCCTTTGTCAGTCCTCTGTTGGATACAGACTTCCACCACACCGTGTCGATTGTGTGGGGGGCGGGGGTGGTATTTGACCATACTTCACCACACTGGTCAGTAGGCGCGGACGGGTGTATTTGGAAGGGGGCTGGGTTGGGTGGGCTGGTCCAGATATCACTCGCCACTGATGTTAGCCGTGGTCGCGAATCAAATGCGTGCCTTTCTTTTTGAAGGTCAATTCAAGCTCACGTGCCATTCCCGTCTTCAAAGATGCTCGCTCACGGCACTTGCCCCTAACGGTGTGTTGAAGGTTATACGGGGGGGGGGGGATCTTCTTCTTTGTGATATTACCATCACCTTAATCAACCGTTACATAATAATACAGCGGCAACGTCCGCGCGAATGGAGCAGCAGTCTCGCACACACCGACTGCACGCACGGGCAGTGATGCACGTGGTTCAGATAATATTTTTAGCTCTCGCCGGCGAAATTCTGCCCAACCTTGAGGGTGACGAGCTGACAGTAATGCATTCAACATTTCTGCAACATGGAGACCTAGGCAATCAGCAGCGTTTGTATCAGCACGTTTGGCTACGTACGGTGCAAAAGAAGTTCAACATACATTCCAGTACTAGGACAGCGTCGTTCAATCATCATCTGCAGCAGGACCAAACGCCGCAACCATCCACATCAGCGCCAGCATCACTCCGTGGCATGATGATCATCAGCACCACCACCAGCCGATGCTATCGTCATCAACATCAGCAGCACCAGCATCATCACCATATGGCATCACCGCCATCACTAGCAGCAGCACCAACAGCAGTAGAACCCCATTGCCATCGACGTAATCAACTGCGACACCACCACCAATATCAGCAACATCATCATCATTACCAGCAGCAGCACCATCATCATAACCATCATCATAACCATAGCCATCATATGCAGCAACAGCAACACCACTCGTCATCACCAGCATCACCAGTCATCATCATAACCTTCACCATCACCCCCTACACCACCATCAGCACCCATCGTCAATAGCAAAACCCCAATCCATCGTTTGGATTATACATAGCAATCATCACTCCTCGCCTGAACAAAAAAACATTGCAGGACCCTCGTGATATTGAGTCATTAGACTCAGCGAGGCTTTCCTGGGCAACCATACATGATATAATAATAATTAAACAATAACCACCTTGCCATCATCACCTCTCGCCATCATCATCAATCATCACCATCAACATTATAACCATTATCACCATCAGGCACCACTACCACAATCAACAAAGGCAACGATTCCCCCATATAGCATTGGGCATCTGTGAAAAAGAGCTTCGTAGCTCATCGGATTTCTCCAGGATAAATAAAGATTATGAGCATTCAGCAAACTGTCAGGGCAAGTGCCGTTCGCGAGCATTAAGGCCGGAACGTCGGCCAAGGGGGTGAGGTTACCCAGCAACATGCCAGGCAACCTTCGCGTCTCCATAGTCCTGATGTTCTATACACACCGTACCAGGTACACGTTTGAGGCTGAGTCGACCTAGGGGAGGGCCCAAGACCGGTTCAGAATATTCATCACCGATGTTGGCCTCGTGCAGAAATCGAACTCGTGTGGCCGGGGTTTGTAGCGCAGTGCAGCGCTAACCACCACAAAGACAAAGACACACCTTCTAGCCTTAACAGACTGTTGGGTCAAGTGCTGTCAGTGAGCACCTATAAAAGGCCAGTACGGCACACAGGGAGGGTTGGGCAAACACCACTCCCGGCTGCCTTTGTCCCCCCAGTGGCGTTGTTTACACACCGCACCAGATACTCATTTGAGGCCGAGTCGACCTAGGGGAGGGCCCAAGACCGGTTCAGAATATTCATCACCGATGTTGGCTTCGTGCAGAAATCGAACTCGCGTGGCCGAGCTTCAGAGCGCAGTGCAGCGCGAACTGCTCCAACGCCACTCGTCACAACCCACCACGGCCACCACCACCACCGCCACCACCACCACCGCCACCACCACCACCGCCAGGGCCGCCTCACCTTGCGTCCGCTCGCCCTGTGGATCGCCTTCTTCACTTTGCCGTACGTCCCCTTGCCCAAGGTCTCCAGGAACTCGTAGCGATGCTTCAGGTTGTGCGTGTGTTGGTGTCTCCGCACTCCACGATGAGCCAAGCCGGCAGTGGTGGCAGCAGCAGCGGCGGCGGTGGCAACCGGAGACCCAGGACGTCCCGGTTTGACTCGCGAAGCCGGGCAGGAGTAAGTGAACGGGGAGAATGCTGCTGCTGCTGCGGTTGAGGAAGAGCACGGCGATTGCTGCCGTTGCTGCTGGTGAAGATGACGTTGCTGCTGCTGTGGCTGCAACTGAACCAGCGCGGACCGGCGTGTAGCTGGTGTCGAACCGCGAACCCGGACATCTCTGGTGGCTCCGGCTGGTTCTGCGCGTCGGGTCCTCAGCAGCACCTCGGTAGCCATCCGGAGGCTGCCTCCAGCAATCAGCTGGGAGCAGGAGCCGAAGAGGCGTTCGTGGTTGTTGTTGTTGTTGGTGATGATGATGACGGCTGATTTGACGAGTGGCGATGGGGATAGGATGACGATGATGGAGGTGGCTTCTGATGATGACGGACGACGAGATGAGGAGTGACCACCAGACTTCTGCACAGACCTCTTTCCCCTTATCCTCTAGACAGCACGCATATTCTCCAAGGGAAGACGATGATGATATGGACGATGTGGCTGTGTGCCCCCTCGTGCCATCATCATCATCCGCGCGGGGTAGAGAGAGAAGAGAGAAGAGTGGGCGAGGGAGCGCTACTCCCCTCCCCGTGCGCCGAGAGCGCGCGTTGGATGTGATGCAGGGCTGGAAAGGCTGAGGGGGGTCCACTGGGCAATATAGCGCCACCTTTGAACATCGGCAGCCCTCCCTCCACGTCCAATTGGATCCCGTGGAGCCGAGGGCCGGGCCAATGGAGGCAGAGCGAAGATTTGTCATCACCGATGGGCGAGAGGGCAGGGAGCGAGGGAGGGAGGAGGGAGCGAGGGAGAGAGAGATGCGCTTGTAAGTTGAAAAAAAAACATTGTCTGAAGCTGCTACTGCTGCGTTGGCAGTGGTGGACAAGCACACATAACAACAACAGCAGCAGCCATTCGCCACTAAGTGGCGGTGACGTCACCACGGCGCCAGTGCCAGGCTAGGTGCACCTTGTGGATGCCAGGAGGTCGCGGGACAGACCCAGGTGCTGTGGGTTGTTGACTGGCTGAGATGACTGGCAGATGCGCCAGCTGTGCCCCCTACTGTGCAAAATAACAACATCAACAGCACGCAACAAATTGGTCAATAAGAACACTCTGTGGTCTTAAACGAATCAAAAACCACTCCGACACGTTTTGGGCAATGGCCCAAAGGACAATTGCCCAAAACGTCGCATATTATCTCACATAAAGGCAGTGTTATCGACGAATGTATTGCGTTTTAATGCTTCTATTTGCTCAGTGTTGATTTAGGAGGGAGCGAATGACTTATTCAGATGAGACACAAACACTGAGCACAACCACTGTGCCAAGGCAGTGTCACCATTATCGCTTGCTGAACAAGACGGCTACCAACACCGGTGACGATTATCTGGACCGGTCCTGGACCTTCCCTAGGTCGACTCAGCCTCAAATGAGTACCTGGTAAACATCGCCACCGGGGAGACAAAGGCGGTCGGGCGTGATGCTGGTCAATCACCCCCTCGTGTGCCCTGCCGGCCTTCATAGGCGCTACTCGCTAACAGCACTTGCCCCAACAGTAGGTTTAAGGCTACACGGGGGATCTTTGTGTCTACATACAACACTGGTGGGTGATGCTGGGCATAAACAAACGACGCATTGCCCCAAATCGATCAATGGGGCCCTGGATATATATAACGATGAATACAACGTGCGCCCCATCAGATCAAATTCAAACGCTTATAAACACAAGTCAATTGACGGAGAAAATACAATCTGACCTCTATCTTGTCCGCATCCATCATCTCAGTACATCTCTGTGGTGTCTATGTTTCTCTAATCTCACTACAATCTATATCTCCCTTGTCTACAGCTCTTCTGCCATCTCACTAGGGGTTTATAAATGTAATGGGGGTTCCTAAAAAATGTATTCTGCTCCGGGCCTCCCAATGGGCCAGCGTGTCACCGCCGTAACTGAACACACATGCAACAAAGACAAATATACTCTTTGGTTCTTTCGGTAAAGTCACGTAGGTGAAAAAATTAAAAGAAAAAATACGAATAAAAATAGAAATAATCAAATGAAATCGCGACGTTTCGGAAGCAACACAAGCTTCCGTCATCAGGTGGGACAGCCACAGCAATTTTATTTATAAAAAAAAATAAGGAAAAAAAAGTTATTTCTTTATTTTTACAATAATTTTTTTCATTTTTGCTGTGGTTGTCCCACGTGATGGCGGAAGCTTGTGTTGCTTCCGAAACGTCGTGATATACTTTGATTATTTATATTTGTATTCTTATTTTTTTCACCTACGTGACTTTACCGAAAGCAACAAAGAGTATGGATCCTTGCAACGACGAAAACTTCAAATCTATAAAGGCAAAGATCCCCCTCCCATTATAGCCTTCAATAGACTGTTTGGGCAAGTGCTGTTAGCGAGCAGCTGTTCAGGCTTGGTGCTGTTGCGCGGGAAAGCAATATATCTGCTAACACATTCTGTAAATAAAAGACATGTAATTAATTGATTATATACTGTAATATGTTAATAATATGTTAACATTGGAGGGTAATGTATAGGGTGGGCAGAAAGTCTAATAACTCTCTGCCTTCAACATTAATTAGGACGATATTCAATGATAAATGAATATTGGGATTTCCGACCGCCATTGAAATTTAAGCAACACTTACCATTTCTTGTAATGAAAAATAAAAATAATAGAAATAAAAAAAAGATATTTTAATTAATTATTTTTACCTACGTGACTTTACCGAAAACACCTAAGAGTCACGAAAGCTTCAAATCTAGAATTGTAATGAGCAGTTTCATAATAGATGGTATACATTAGGTTGACGTTTCGGACAATGACTCTTATTCAAGACTCATATGGCAATAGTTTCTGGCAGGTGGATCGTACGCAAACGATTGTGTGGTGTTGTGTGACTGCGTTTTGAGTGTACTCGGTGTGTTTTGCATTGTTGTTTGCGTTGTCAGTATATAGGCATTATGTATGTGTTGTGAATGTGTTTGTATTATCCATGTATATGTTGTGTGTATTATGTATCTTGGCTATGCATGTGTTGTGTGTGTGTTGCATGTCTATTCATTATGTGTGTTATGTGTGTGCTTGTATGAGTGCACGTTCTTAATTTTTTGCGGTGACGCAATGTTATTTAAAACGGAAACGTGATTTTATTTCTGAGTGGAGCTCACACCCACTCATGGAGGGTTATCGTGAAAGACCACGCTTCGCTGGAAACAAAGATCCCCCGTGTAGCCTCCACAGGCTGTTGGGGCAAGTGCCCTTAGCGAGCAGAAACTTATGAAGACCGACACGGCAGACGAGGGAGTGGGTGGAGAGCACCACGCACGGCCGCCCGTATCTCTCCAATGCTCATTTTTTTTACACACAAGTACTTATTTAAGGCTGACTCGACCTAGGGGAGGCCCAGGACAGGTTCAGATCATCGACACCGGTGTTGGCCGTGAGCAGGAATCGATCTCGGGTGGCCAAGTTTGTAGCGCAGCGCGCTAACCGCTATACTACCGCTCCCCATCGCACCAGGTACAAAGACAAAGATCCCCCGTATAGCCTTAACAGACTGTTGGGGCAAAGTGCCGTTCGCGAGGAGCTATGAAGGCCGGTACGGCACACGAGGGGGTGGGTGGCCAGCACCACGCCGGACCGCCTTTGTCTCCCTCGTGGCGATGTTTGAACACCGCACAAGATACTAATTTGAGGCTGAGTCGACCTAGGGGAGGCCCAGGACCGGTTCAGATATAATCGTCATCGTAGCGCAGCGTAGCGCTAACCGCTGCGCCACCGCTCCCCACAAGGCGCACGTGCATGGAGAAAAAGCGCCACCTCTCGTACACAATCTCTCACCTGCACACGTTGACAGCGGCAATCAATTTCAGGCACAAAAGGGTCCTCCCCGAGCCACGGGGCCAGTCTAGTAAACCCACGTGTCAACCTCCGTTGGAAAAGTGACGTTTTAATAACACGTAGGAAAAACAATCATCATCATCAGCAGCAGCAGCAGCCACGATCAATTCGCTGTTAGGTTGAAGGATTCCAAAGCCCTCACCATCTCTCACGCTCCTGCGATGTAACAATCCAGCTCGTATCACTGCACACGAGCCGATTTCATCACTTGGCCTCCATGCTGGGCGTCCTCTCTCGGCCGCTTGAATTCCTTTGCATAACGAGGCATAATCTGTGTTCAATTTCGCCGCAGCGACGTGCCCAGTGCGCATACTAATATGTCATCGAGGTGCTGCATTATCTAACGACTGGGTTACGTAATCTTGGGGCGGCGGAGCGGTGGTGCAGCGGTTAGCAGCGTTGCGCTATGAACCTGATGGGCGTCCTGAGTGAGAATCCTCTAGCCACGACGAACGTCAAGGGGCAACCTCCCCCTTGCCCCACCCCCCTTGCCCCACTGACTTGACCAGCATAGCAAAATATTTCCAACAACCGCCCCCCCCCCTCCATGGCCGACACGGCGTAGGAGCCTTCATCCAGCAGGAGATTGGCCAATCTACTGCTGGAGACTAGGCTCTAAGAAAAGCTGTCTCGGGTGTGGACCAATCAACTTCAAGGACAGTGCATATCATTATCATCATCAGAGTTGTTTCTTTTTGTTTGCATTTTGACTGCTTGTGTTGTGGTTATTGCAAACATGATCCCTTGTATAAAGGTGTCAGTTTTTGTACCAGTTGAAAGGGTAAAAGCCTATTACTATATTTTGCCACTGGTAAAGGAGGTCTCATAGTGGCCAAGGGCTGTTGTAAAATAAGTAATAATCGTAATCGAGAGGGGCAGGGTTAGGGTGTGTGTTTTTTTTCCATTGCACGCGTGCACGGACGCGATGCTAACCGCCGAGCGCGAGATCAGAATTTCAGATTTCACGCGAGTCGCCTGGAAGGCATTTTCATACGTTTGTATAAATTCATCACTTCCTGCACTGCGGTAGACGCCAACGGATTATTTTTTAAAAATGTAAAACTATATATTTTTTGTAAAAGTCTTACGCCAGAATTATTACTTTACACCACAAATCAGCGTTTAGCAACCCCCCCCCCCCCATCTCTCATGAATGTTACGGAGCGATTATTTAAAATAGAAAACGAGCTTCGGTCCTCCCCCCTTTTGATGCCGATGCATGTGAAAATGTGCGTGCAGAGTGGCATCTGAGGATACGGTAAACAACTTGGCGGGTCAGAATGGAACGTTGCACGCAAAGCATCAATCACGAAGGGGTCACCGAGACAGGGACGGAAGTGGCACCCCAGAGGTCGACAACCAAAGGGGAAACACCCCAAAGTTCAAAGGTCATGATTACCTCCTAGCTGGCCATGAGTAAATGTACCTTGTACGTTCATTTGTAATTATAAGGCAAAGGGGGGGGGGGTACCCATCTCAGGAAAGCTCACCATACAGTCAACCCGCATGGTTCGGACATGTCGAAAGAAGAGAGGGGCTCGGCACTGAGAGGTGACGAACGTGGACACAACACCAGAGCAGAGGCCGAGAGACAGGCCAAGAAAGAAGGAAATAGGTGGTTCGAAATTGTGAACCGGGATATGAAGGACTGCAGAGTAGAGGTGGAGATGGCCCAGGGCAAGAATGAGTGGAGAAAGAGAGAGAAAAA